GGGACTTTCCTGGGGCCCTTAGGGGGCCCCTAGGGGGCCCCTAGGGGGCCCCTAGGGGGCCCTTGGGGGCACGTTGGGGGCCCCTTGGGGGCCCCCTAAAAGTCGCTTGGGGGCCCCTTGGGGGCCACTCAGGGGGCCCTTGGGGGCCCCCACGAGGCCAGTGTGTGCCTCTGGTGGGTTCATGGTTTAGGGTTTAGGGTTTAGGGTTTAGGGTTTAGGGTTTGGTTTGCAGCAGCGAGCAGCAGCTGCATGCAGCCAGCAGCAGCGTATCGGACTTGGGCGTTTTCAGCTTTTGCTGCGTCTTCAAGTAAATCTGAATTTTAAAAAACAAAAATAAAAATAAAAATGAAATTAAAATTAAAAATTAAAATAAAAGTAAAAATAAAGAAGAAACAAAAGATGTATTCCTTTAAGTTCTCTAGAAATCAAATCCCGCCTTCTTGCTGCAGACCTAATTGAATGAGCTCTTGCATTTTGATTCCATTTCAAATTAATTTTTGAATTTATATTTATACTCATTTTTTTTATAATTTAAGTTTAAATTTAAATTTAAATTTAAATTTAAATTTAAATTTAATTTCAAATAAACAAATTCAACGATGCATATCATTGGCGGCCGCTCTTGGGCAGCGTTCGGGTGGCGCCATATCTAGGGTTTAGGGTTTAGGGTTTAGGGCTTAGGGTTTAAGATTTAGGGTCTAGGGTTTGCGGCTTAAGGCCTAGTGCTTAGAGTAAAAGGCCGTGAGTATCGAGCTTTCCGTTCAAGACAGGTCAGGGCCTAGGGTTTAGGGTTTAAGGATTAGGGTTTAGGGTTTAGGGTTTAGGGTCTAGGGTTTAGGGTTTAGGGTTTAGGGTTTAGACGTACTCTTGAGGTCCGCTACGAATCTGAGGGCCCAAGAAGCCGCTTGGGGTATTCTCTGCGAGAAAAATAAAAAGTAAAAGTTGAAAGAAATTAAAAATTAAAAATAATTAAAAATTAAAAATAATTAAAAAGAAATTTCCATTAAATCTGCATTTCTGGAAAATAAAACATTTTTTATTTTGAGAAGTTTCAGCTCACCCGCAACCCATCAGCGTCTCTCAACAGCAGCACTTCCTGCTGCTGCTGCTGCCGCTGCTGTTGTTGTTGCTGCTGCTGCTGCGGCGGCTGCTGCTGCAGCACAATGTGCAGTAGAGCTAAAGCCTGTAAGCAGCAGCAAACCCAAACAGCTACAAACTCTTCTGCATGCGCCAGCTTCACCAGGGGGCCCCCAAGGGGCCCCCAAGGAGCTTTAGGGGGCCCCCAAGGGGCCCCAAAGGGTTCTTTAGGGGGCCCCCAAGGGACCCCTAAGGGGCCTCCAAGGGGCCCCTAAGGGGCCCCCAAGGGGCCCCCAAGAAAAGCATTTGTATTTGTTTTTATCTTTAACTGACAGTCTGCAAACTATGAAAGGAGGTGAAAAAAGGCATCTTGGATTTAATTAAATAGCCAAAAAACATTTTAAATTGAATTGATTATATTTTATAATTATATATATGAGGCAGCACAAATAATATATGGAAAGCGCGGAGAGGTAGCAGCAGCAGCAGCAGCAGCAGCAGCAGCAGTAGCAGCAGCAGCAACAGCAGCAGTAGCAGCAGCAGTAGCAAGAGCGTTGCCGCTGTCAGCAGCAGCAGCTGCTGCACCTGTAGGGCTTCTGCTGCAGCAGCTTGCTGCTGCTGATCTGTTTCAAAAAGAAACTGCAGCCAATTCTCTATTGGCTCATCAGCTTCTTGCTGCTGAATTTCTTTGCTGCGCTGCTGCATGTGCTTCAGGGCTTCAGCAAGCGCAGCAGCAGCAGGCCCCGCAGCAGCAGCGCCCAACACCTGCAGCAGCAGCAACGGCAGCAGCAGCAACAGCAGCAGCAGCAGCAGCGGCTGGGATTAGCTCTTCTTGGGCAGCTCCGAGAAGAGCTGCAGCTTTTTCTTTCTTTTTACTTCTTTTCCGTAATATATAATTAAATTATTATAATTATTATCTATTTTAAAATAAGTAATTAAAAACATGCATGAAATTCAGCAGCAGCAGCAGCAGACAGCAGCAGCAGCAGCTTTACCTCAAACATCACACGCGGCCGCCGCCTCAGGTGTACGTACACCTCAGATTGAAACGAAGGATAGCAGCAAATCCTTCGCAACAACTGTGTCACCAGTGGAAGCAGCAGCAGCTGCTGCTGCTGCTGCTGTTGCTCCTGCTGCTGCTGCTGCACTTGCAGCTGCTTCTGCAGCTCGTACTCGCGCTGCTGCTGCTTCGTGGGCTCCGACAGCAGCAGAGGTAGCAGCTGAGACAGCAGCAGCAGACCTTCGTAACAATCGAGCATCCTACTGCTGCTGCTGCTGCTGCTGCTGTTGCTGCATCTACTGTTGCTGCTGCTGCTGCCGTAGCTGCTACCCCTGCACCTGTGAGTGCATCTAAACCTACTGCTGCTACTGCTACCGCTGCACGTGCTCCTAAATTTGCTGCTGCTGCTGCTGTTGCTGCTCCTTCGCTGCTGCTGCTGCTGCTGCTGCTTGCCTGTTTGAATTCTTGGTTTGCTGCTAGTGCTGCTGCTCCTTCCTGGCTGCTGCTGATGCGGCATAATAGGCAAAGAGCATCTGGGGCTCCTCGGGCCCAGCAAATTCGGGTGTATGTACAGCTGGCAGCAACAAGCTGCAGGCAGCAGCGAAAGGGATTTACAGGCAGCTGAGCAGCAGCTCTCAAAGCCGCTCCAAGCTGCTGCCAGCAGCAGCAGCAGCAGCAGCAGCAGCAGAGGAAACCGGATTGTTTCATACCCCCAATGCAGCAGGAGCAGCAGCAACACCATTTCCTGCTGCTGCTGCCGCTGGTGCTGTGGCAGCAGCAACTGGCGCTGTTGCTGCTGCTCGCGTTGTTGCTGCTGTTGCCCCTGCTGCAGCCAGCCCTGCTGCTGCTGCTGCTGCTGCTTCAACCCACCTCTTCTGCTGCTGCTAACTTTGCTGTTCTTGCATCTGTGGCGAGGAGAGCCACAAGGCGCAGCAGCCTGAAGACAAGCCTCGGCAGCAGCACCTGGAATTAATTATTTAAAAGTAAAAATAAAATAATGAATTAAATAATTAATTAATTAACTAATTTAATTAGTTTAATTAATTTGCTGCCAATTTGCTGCTGTTTACATTGTGGCTGTCTCCAGCGCCAGCGTCAGATGCGGCAGCGGACTTGGGCGCAGCATGCCTTCAAGAGACGCAGCAGCAGCAGCAGCAGCAGCAGCAGCAGCAGCAGCAGCAGACGCAGCAACAGGTGGGTCTTCCTTAAGGCACTCTAGCTCAGCAGCAAGCTGCTGCAGCAGCCGAGCTGCAGCAGGCACTATACTGCTGCTGACCATGCGCTGCCTTGCTGCTGGTACTCTGAGCAGCAGCAGCAGCAGCAGCAGCAGCACATTAATGAACTAAATAACAAACAAAAGGACAAATAAGTTCATTTATTTTCCTATTTATCTGCTGCTAATGCCCCGCAAATGCCTCCAGCTGCAATATGGGAATAAAAGAAAACTATTTATATCTTTAAATGCATGCAAAGAAATTAATTAAATTAAATTTATTTATTTATTTATTTTATGGATGTGAAACGTAGCCCAGTGGGCCCCCGGGGGGCCCCTGGGGGGCCCCTGGGGGCCCCCTGGGGATCCCCAGGGGGCCCCTTGGGGGCCCCCCGGGGGGCCCCTGAAGGGTTTGCTGTGGGCTGAGGTGTATGTACAGCTCACAAAGCTACGCTGCAAGCAGCAGCAACAACATTTCGCAGCAGCAAACGGCTTTCCTGAAGCAAGCAGCAGCAGAGAAGGGTTTAGGGTTTAAGGGTTTAGGGTTTAGGGTTTAGGGTTTACAGAAACGTGCGGTTCAATCCTTCCTAGCGCTCAAAAACGAGGGCTTTTGCTGCTATTCACTGGTCTTTCTTAGGGTTTAGGGTTTAGGGTTTAGGGTTTAGAGTTTAGGGTTTAGAGGTACTGGGGGTGGCAGCCTCCAGCAGACGACGCAAAGATAAGAGACCAGGTGGCTGTCTATGCCTGCAGCAGCAGCAACAGCAGCAACAGCAGCAACAGCAGCAACAGCAGCAACAGCAGCAGCAGCAGCAGCAATAGTATTATTCAACTCCTTCAGAGTGGCAGCAACCTAAGAGTAACAACGGAAGGCGAAATCGCCAGAGAGCCAAACGTATTCATTCACTGATATATTGTTTAATATTTATTTATTTATTTGTTTATTTATTTATTTATTTATTTAACATTTATTAAACTCGTTCGCAGGCGTTAAAAGCAGGAGTCGATAGCGGAGTCATGAATTCATCATTTGCTGCAAATGCATGTTTATCGATCAAACAATTTAAATTTTAAATTTTATTTATTTATTTATTTATTTATTTAATACTAGATTTTTGAATTTAGTTTTATTTCTGAGAAAGAATAAACAGCAGCTTTCCATTTGCTGAAGTTGAAATCGGCGGTGGCTCGCAGTGGGGCGGGCAGATCTAAGTGAAAACGACGGCTAAATTGCCTCTTTTTGTGTTTTTCTGCTCCATTTGCGTTTTAAAATGCATTTAAATCAATTTTGAAGTCAAAATTTGCAAAAAATGCCGCGAAAATCGCGAAAACGCCCCCCGAACGCGAGCGGCAGACCCACCTGCAGCCGACAGGACGGCGCCGCCGTCAGCCTCGCTGCTCAGAGAGGCCAGCAGCTGCGCCGCGAGAGACCTGGGGGAAAAACAAATTAAAAATAAAAATTAAATCAAGTAATAAAATAAAATGAAATAAATAAATTAATTTGAAAAAGAAATTGAAAGATTTACTCATTTAGAGCCCGTTTACCTTTTATTCTGCTCCCGCAGCACCGCAGGCCGCTGCTGGCCAACATACACTGCGGCGAAGCCGAGAGAGTTCCCATTTTCAGAATATTTTGTGAACTAAATTTATTTATTTTTATTTTTAAAATATAATTATGCAAATAAATGCATTAATACACACATTTGCATCTATCTGGGCTCGTGGGCCCCAGAGTCAGCAGCAGAGGAATCGCTGCTGCTGCTGCTGCTGCTGCTGCTGCTGCTGCTGCTGCTTTCTCTGCTGCTTTTTCTGCGGCTCCTGCTGTTGCTTCTGCTGCTGCTGCTGCTGCTTTTGTTTCTGCTGCTGTTGCTGCTGCTTGTGCTGCTGCTGCTCGCCGGCTCACCTCAAGTTCTCATCTCTGTGGCTAATCATAATGGTGCCGAAGCAGCAAATGAGATTTGCTGCCTCCATTTGGCTGCGAGCAGCAGCACGCTGGCTCAGCAGAATGTACAGCCGCAGCACAGCAGCTTCAATTTCTCTCGCGAGCTCCTCGGGATCTGGTGCTACTGCTGCTGCTGCTGCTGCTGCTGCGATTGCTGCTGCTGCTTTGGTGCCCGGTGCCGCTGCTGCGAATTTTCGTGGTGCTGCTTCTGCTGATGTTTGTGTTGCTTCTGCCGCTTCTACTTCTGCTGCTGCCCCTGCTGGCTCTGTAGCAGCTGCTGCTGTTTCTGCTGCCTGCGCTGCTGCTGCTGCTGCTGCTGCACCTGTGGCTTCATCGTTTGCTGCTGCAGCTGCCGCTGCTGCGGCGGCTGTTACTTCCTCCTCTGTTGCTGCAGCAGCCGCAGCAGCGGCGGCCGCTGCTGCGGCTGTCGCCTCCTCCTCTGCTGCAGCAGCAGCAGCAGCAGCTGCTGCTGCAGCAGGAGAGCGGGCGTTGGCGCCCGCCAGGTAAAGCCACCTGGCCCGCTGCAGCGGCGTTTGTCTCAGAATTGAAAAGTTTGAATTTATATTTTTATTTTTTTTTCCTTCTTTTTTGTTTTTATTTTCTTTTTTATTTTTATTTTCTTTTTCATTTCTTTCAAGAGCCCATTTGCCCGCGCTGCGCAGCAGCAGCGGCTCCAACACAGACACCGCAGCCAGATCCACAGCAGCCAGCAGCTGCTCCTGCAGCAGCAGCAGCAGCAGCAGCAGCAGCGATAGGATGAATTAAAGTGAATTAAATTACATCAAATTAATTCAATTTTATCAAGAGGGAAGAAAGAAATAAACAAATGCGCTGGAGCATTTTGTTTTGCTGCTGCTTTGCCAGAAAATAAAATAAATAATTTAATTTAACTAATTTAATTAATTTAATTAATTTAATTAATTCAATTTTCATTTGTTTTTAAATACATCGTTCTAGAAGCTGCTGCAGCCTACAGGGTTGGAGAGCCGTTCTTCAAGGCACAGCAGCGCCTCCAGCAACTCAAGGCTGCTGCTGCTGCTGCTGCTGCTGCAGTTGCTGCTGCTGCTGCTGTCGCTGCTGCTGCTGCTGCTGCTAGTTGCTTCTTTAATTTGGTGCAGCAGCCGCGGTAGACAACGGTCGCCGTACCTGCGGGTCAGGCGTTATTCAGATACAGAAATAAATAAATAAATAAATAAATAAATAAATTAATTAATTAATTAATTAATTAATTAATAAAATAAATGAACAAAAGTTTACAAATTTAAATTCAGTAATAAAGAAACCGACAGCGGCGCTAGGCTTTGCTGATCTTCTACAGCACAGCAGCTGCTGAAGCTACTGTGCCAAGTGAAGCAGCAGCAGCAGCAGCAGCAGCAGCAGCAGCAGAGTAAGATGTATGCGTAGGCGTTCACTGCAGCGTCAGCTTGGGAAGACCCATTTGTTGCTGTTCTTTCTCTGCATCTCCCTACTCGCTGCTGCTGCTGCTTTTGCTGCTGCTGCTGCTGCTGCTGCTGCTCGTGCTGCTGCTGCTGCTGCTGCTGCTTACGCAATTGTAACATATGAGTCTGGGCACCCGCTGCGCGTCTCAGGATAATGTGGATGGTTAGCAGCAAGTGTATAAGACACAACATGGCGATGATACCCTAAAAGCCTCAGGGGGCCCCCTGGGGGCCCCTGAGGGCCCCCCCAAAGCCCCGGGGGCCCCTGGGGGGCCCCCCAAGGCCCGGGGGGCCCCTGGGGGCCCCCCGGGGGCCCCTGGGGGCCCCCCAAAGCCTCCAAAGACCTCTGGACCCCCGGGGCCCCCGGGGGCTCCTCTGTTTTCATTCTGTGGGCTTTCTGTTCTTTGCAGCAGCAGCAGCAATTTGCTGCAGCTCTAAGTAGCTGCAGATATATAAACGTTGGTAATTAGAGTGCGCTGCTGCGGCTATTCTGTAGATTAAGATGTAACTTTGTGGATCTATATTTGTAGTAAATAGAATGTTTAAAAGAAATGTATCTTTTGTGCATTTTAAAGATGCATTTAATGTGCAGATCGCCCAAAGATTCGCTTTTGCCTCAAGGCTGGAGTTGGATGAATCGGGGGTGTGCGGCTGCGGGAGAAACAGTCGGAATTTGGAATAAAGAATAAAATAAAAAGGAAAAAATAAAAAACAAAAATAATTTAAATAGAAAGGCGGGGGAATTGAAACAACTGAAATACAAGAAAGAGAGCAGCCGCAGCAGCAGCAGCAGCCACAATGCTGCCGCTGCTGCTGCTCGCGCTGCTGCTGCTGCTGCTGCCGTTACTGCTGCCGCTGCGGCAGCAGCAAAGAGCCCCTTTCTAGTTTGAAATAAACGATCTATTTCAAATAATTGTTTTTTTAATTTAAATTTCACATTTTTTCTCCCGCTGCGGGCCCCAGCGGCGCAGCCGCCTCGGGGCTGCAGCCACGGAGTGACCTTCGGGGGCCCCACGATCTGCTGCTGAAATAAAGACTACGAAGGCAGCAAGCGGGAAAATTAAGAAAAATAAATGCAACAGAATTAAATTAACTTAAAAATAAAAAATTAAAAATGAATTAAAACGCAAAATGCCAGCAAAGGGAGTAAAGACCACTTCCCCCCCACAAGCGCAGCCACTGCCACGCCGCTTCCGACACAACGCTGGTGAGAAAGCAAACAATAATATAATTTAAAAGAAAGTTATTCAATTACAAATAATAAACAATTGATAAATATGCGTCTCAAAATGAAGATATGTCTCTCCAGCCACCACAACCATAGAAAACGGCAACAACAGTTGCTTCAAATGATATAAGGATGCAGCCACAGCAGCAGCAGCCCTCTGCTACAGCAGAAGCAGCCCCCTGCTGCAGCAGCAGCAGCCCTCTGCTGCAGCAGAAGCAGCCCCCTGCTGCAGCAGCAGTAGCCCTCTGCTGCAGCAGCAGCAGCCCTCTGCTGTAGCAGCAGGAGCAGCTGCAACTGCGGCAACTGCCGCTGCAGCAGCTGCCGCCGCAACTTGGCAGCTTCTTTGCTCAGCTAAAAGAGCAGCAGCTACAATCTTTCTGCTACCCTCTCTTCTAGGGTTTAGGGTTTAGCAGCAAGCAGCATCAGTGGCTACACTAGGTGCTGCAGAGGCCAAGCAGCTGCAGGACAGTCAACAGCTGCTGCACCAGCAGCACCACCAGCTGCAGCAGCAACCGCAACAGCAGCAGCAGCAAAACCTGCAGCAGCAGCAGCAAAACCTGCTGCTGCAGCAGCAGGTTACGCTACAGCATAAACCTGTCCTGCGCCCCCATTTCATCCAGAGCGCGGATTTTAACTTTCCACTGGCCTGCTGCAGCTCCCTGCTCCTGCCACGGCAGCAGCAGCAGCAGCTGCTGCTGCTGCTGCTGCTTCCCTGCTGCTGCTGCTGCTTCTCGGGCTCGCTGCTGCGCCTGCAGCAGCAGCTGCAGGCAGCGCCCGCAGGGGTGGCAAGGCAGGTGCAGCAGTGAAGGCGACACAACAGCAACCATTGAAATTTGCTGCCAGCCAGCAGCAGCAGCAGCGCCAATCACGTGCTGCTCAGCGCAGCAGCTGCAGCAGCAGCAACAGCAGCAGCAGCAACAGCAGCAGCAAATGACACCGATGAATTAAAGTAATAAAGAGTGGCGACACCAATATATGCGACAACAGCAGAAGCAAAGAGAGGAGCAGCAGCAGCAGCAGCAGCAATTATAGGAGAACGAGTAATGAACAAAAAAAATAATGCAGAATGGCGTCAAATAAAAACAAATACAAACAATAAATAAAACAAAACAACTATTTAGATTGCAAATTAGAGCAGCAAATTAAAAAAGAAGAAATTAATTGAAGCTGCAGCAAGCAGAAAATAAAGAAAGACATAAAAGCAGCAAATCAAAATAGCATCTTTAACTTTAAGCAAAAAGAATTTAAAAAGATCAACAATAAAAACAACACAGACAAAGAAAGAAAAAACATCTGCAGCAAACTGCAGCAAGCTGCAGCAGCAAGCTGCAGCAGCACGCTGCAGCAGCAAGCTGCAGCAGCACGCTGCAGCAGCAAGCTGCAGCAGCAAGCTGCAGCAGCAAGCTGCAGCAGCAGAAAGAACAATCCTGAGGAAGAACGAAGTGCACCAGAACGGCTGCGCAAGTGAAATTAATTTAAGTGAATTAAATTAAATTAATTAAATTAATTAAATTAATTAAATTAATTAAATTAATTAAATTAAAAACAAACCCAAGTCCTATTACACTCGTTTCTGCGTTGGCCCCCACAACGACTGCGCCTTCAGTCTGGGCAGCGCAGCCAACAGCAACTCCCGAAATGCTGCAGCAGCTTTTTGCTGCTGCTGCTGCTGCTGCTCGCACCAGCAGCAGCACTTCTTCGGAAGCAGCAGCCCCTACGCGCCGCAGCAGCAGCAGCAGCAAGCTCTCACGCGGCGCCAGCTACGAGCAGCAGCAAAAGCAGCAGCGAGCAGAGAGCCAGCAGCAAAAGCAGCAACAGCAGCAAACAGAACGCCAGCAGCAGCAGCAGCAGCAGCAGCAACGGGAGCCGTGACAGCAAATACGGCAGCGGCAGCAGCAGCAGCAGTGGCATCAGCAGCACCAGCAACAGCAGAACAAAAGCACCAGCAGCAAAAACGGCGAGGTCGACAAGAGCAATAGCACCAGCAGCAACAGTAGCAGCAAAAAGCAGCAGCAACAGCAGCAGCAGCAGCAACAGCAGCAGCAGCAGCTACCCTCTTCTGTGATGAGACTCTCTATTGCGGGGGGCTGCAGCAAAGGAGGAAAAGAAGAGGAAAGAGGAGACGCCAGAGGCAGCAGCTCAGAAAGCTTAAAAGTTTTAATCTTTGCTGCTGCTGCTGCTGCTGCTGCTGTTGCTGTTGCTGCTGCTGCTGGGTTGGCGACGCCATTCAGCTCAGCTCGGAAGTCGGGGCCTCCTGCCACTGCTGCTGCTGCTGCTGCTGCTTCTGCTGCTGCTGCTGCTGCGGGCTGCTGCAGCAACGTGAAGTGTACGTACACCTCGTCCGCATGCGCGTAGTCGCAGAGCCACTGCAGGCAGCAGCCTTTGAGGGGCCCCACAATTAAGTTAATTTCATTTTTATTTTTGTTTTCATTTTTATTTTCAAATTTATTTTTATTTTCATTTTCATTTTTGTCTTTCAAATTCTTTTCATCTTTGCTGCTGCCTGCTTCCTTCTGCAGCAGCACCACGCCGCATGCAGCCACCTGCGCGCACAAACCCTAAACCCTAAACCCTAAACCCTAAACCCTAAACCCTAAACCCTAGTCAGCAGCAGGGAACTCGGCGAGGGAAGCAACAAACCCTAGCTCTCCCTGTTGCTGCTGCTTGTGCTGCAGCAACATGAGCAGCACAAATGCTGCAGGGGAAAGCAGCAGAGTCGAAGGTGCAGCCTGAGAACAATGTGTACATACACCCCACAAGCAGCAGCAGCAGCTGCTGCAGCAAGCGCTGCAGTAGCAGCAGCTGCAGCAGCAGTCGCAGCAGCAGAGGCTGCTGCTGCACGGACAACAGCAGCAACACCCGCAGACTCAGAAGCACCACCAGCAAGAAGAAATGCCTGCACCTTCATGGCCAGCAGCAACAGCAGCAGCAAAGGCGGCGGCAGCAGCAGCAGCAGGAGACGCGCCAGCAGCAGCAGCAGCAGCAACAGCTTGTGCTACCTGTATATATTTTGCCGTCAGTGCCCAGCACGCTGACGCCTTGCTGCAGCTGCGAAAAGGGAGCGTAGGATCTACAGGCGCTTTCAGCAGCAGCAGCTAGCAGCTGCTGCTGCTGCAGCAGCTGGTGCTGCTGCTGCTGCTGCTGCTGCTGCTGCTGGGGGCCGTGGTTGCTGATGCTGTTCATTGCTGCCGCTCGGGCCAGGGGAGGCCGCCTCTCAGGTGTACGTACACCGCAGCCACTGCAGCGAAGACAACAAAAGAAAGGAATAAATTATTTTCTTTTGCTGCTGCTATTTGCTGCTGCAGCTGCAGCAGGCCCTGGGGCCCTCAGCCGAGGCTCCCCGCTCGTTTTGTTTATTCCACTTTCCCTTTTTAGTTTTAATTTTAATTTTTAATCATTTAATTATATTTAATTCAAGAAGACAAGCTGCGGACTAAGCAGCAGCCGCAGCAGCAGCAGCAGCAGCAGCTGTCGGCAGCAGCAGGGGCCCCCGAGCAGCAGCAGCTGGCACTGTCCGTGCTCCTGCTACCAAACAATTAATCTAATAATCTTTTATTTAAAGTAAAATAACAATCAAGAACACAAGCAAGACACTTTTATTGCTGCTACTGCTGCTGCTGCTGCTGACGCATGCCTACGCCTGCGCTCGCCTAGCCTTATGGACCCCTGCAGCAGCAGCAGCAGCAGCAGCAGCAAGAGCCAGCAGCAGCAGCAGCAGCAGAAGTTGCTGCTTCTATTTTGTCGCCGAATTTTATTTCCTCGCTTTTCTTTGTCGCGTCTTTGGCCCGTACAAACGCAGCCGCACTGACTCATAACAGGAGCAGCAGCAGCAGCAGCAGCAGCAGCAGCATCTGCCGCGATAGCTGCAGCAGCGGCGGCGGCAGCGGCGACATCGGCTCCATGGAGTTTGGCTACCGCAGCAACAGCAGCAGCAGCAGCAACAAGAGCAGCAGCAGCAGCAGCAGCCGTAACAAGCAGCAAAGGCCCATCAACGATTTGCTGCACTCGACCTGCATGCCGCAGCAGCTGCGCCCAAGTCTGTGACTCTCTGTTTCCCACTACAGCAGCAGCAACAGCACCAACAGCAACAGCAGCAGCAGCAACAGCAGCAGCAGCAGCAGCAGGAAGCTGCTCATTTTGCTGCTAAGATGCTGTATCAGTCCGGGTCCCTGCAGGCCCTGATAAAGGGCCTGCGGTCGGCGCAGCAGCAGCAGCAGGAAGCAGAATTCATTGCTAGCAGCCTGCAGCAAGTGAAGAATGAGTTGTCTGCAGCGAGCAGCAGCAGCAGCAGCAGCAGCAGCGCAGCCGCAGCAGCAACACGCAGCGTGGCCCTCCAAAAACTCATTTACCTGCAAATGCTTGGAGTTGATATTTCTTTTGCTGCTTTTGCTGTTATAGAAGGAATGGCAGCACAAAAGTATTACTTGAAGCGGCCCGCCTATGCAGCAGCAGCAATTGTTTTTGCTGCTGGTGCAGCAGCAGCAGCAGCAGACGTTTCCAAGGCCAAGCAGCAGCAGCAGCAGCAGCAGCACTGGCCCCTGACCGAGCTCTCGCTCTTGACTATTAACCTCTTCAAGAAGGACCTGAGCAGCAGCCAGATGTATGAGACAGGTGAGGCTGCTGCTGCTGCTGTTGTTGTTACTGCTGCTGCTGCTGTTGCTGCTGCTGCTTGCATTAGCTTCGTATTCCCCCAGCACCTTTCCAGGGCTTTATTTGGACGGATCTTGCTGCTGCTACTGCTGCAGTTGCTGCTGCTGCAGCACCACCAGTTGCGCTGCTGGTGCTGCACCGCCACCTGTGCAGCAGCTGCTGCTGCTGTTGCTGCCGCTGCTGCTGCTGCTGCAGGCTTGGCGCTGCAGACACTTTCTTGTGTCTCTCCTTCGAGGGAAATGGCGGGCTCGCTGCTGCCAGATGTGCTGCTGCTGCTTGGCTCTTCTCGGCCTTACATTCGGCGAAAGGCAGCACTTTGCTGCTGCAGCTTTTTGCTGCAGCAGCTGCGCGAGCAGCAGCAGGCGCAGCAGCAGCGGCTGCAGCAGCGGCTGCGGCTGGGCGCCGCAGCGGCCACTGCTGCTGCGCAGTCGGAAGCAGCAGCAGAAGACGACAGCAGCGCGGTGCTGCAGCACGTGCTGCTGCGCATGCAGCAGCAGCTAATGCAGGAGCAAGACACGGGAGTTCTTTGCTGCTTGGCTACAGCTTTGCTGCAGGCAGCAGCAGCAGATCCGCAGCCAATTCTGCCGCTGGTGCCGCCGCTGTTTCATTTGCTGTGCAGCAGCAGCAGCAACTGGCTGAGCATTAAGCTGCTGCAGCTGTTCCTGCTGCTGGCAGCAGCAGAGCCGCGGCTGCCGCCCAAGCTGCTGCAGCCGCTGCTGTCGCTGCTGCAGCAAACCAAAGCAAAGAGCGTGGAGGTCGAGGCCCTGCGGCTGCTGCTGCTGCATGCGCCCATAGAAGCAGCAGCAGCAGCAGCAGCAGCAGCAGCAACGGCGGTTTCCACCGCGGAGCAAGCCGCAGCCACCGCCGTGACGGGCGACACCGCAGCGGCAGCAGCAACAAACAGCGGCAGCAGCAGCAGCGCCAGCTTGGAGCAGCAGCTGCTGCTGCTGCTGTGCCAAAAGCTGCAGCTGCTGCTCTCCTCCCCAGACCCTAATATTCGCTTCTTGGCTCTCGATTTGCTGCTGCGCACTTTTACTAAAAGGCGGCAGCTGGTGCAGCCGCTGCTGCGGCTGCTGCCTGACCTGCAGCAGCAAATGCTGCAGGTCAGCAATGGCCCTGCCTCCTAATGCTGCTGCTGCTGCTGCTGCTGCTTGTGGTTGTTTAGCTGGCGCTGTTGCTGCTGCTGCTGTTGCTGCTACCGCTGTGGGTGCCTTCCGGACCGGCACCGCCGTTGCTGTTGCTGCTGCATCGCAGCAGCAGCTCGTAAGTGCAGCAGCAGCAGCAGCAGCAGCAGCAGCAAGATGCTTGGCTGTGTGCTGCTCAGAGCGCCAAAGGAGTGGACTCAACGCTGCGGCGAGTTGGGGTGGCGCTGCTTGCTGCTGCTGCTTCTGCTGCCACTTTTCCTGTGGTTTGTGAGCGGCTGCTGGCTGCTGCTTTTGATGCAGCGAACGGGAGCAGCAGCAGCAGCAGCAGCAGCAGCAGCACCGCCGCCAAGGGCGCTGCTGCTGCGGCTGCTGCAGCTGCTTTCGTTAGCCCTGAAGACTTCATACTGCCCGTCTTGCAAATGGCTGTAGAGTAAGTCTGCTGCCGCTGCTGCTCTGCTGCTGTTGCTGCTCTCCCGTGGCTGCTGCTGTTGGTGCTCAGCTGCTGTGCTCCTGCTGCTCTGCTGCTGTGCTCCTGCTGTTCTGCTGCTGCTGCTGCTGGCACTGCTTTTTGCGCTACTGCGGACAGGTTCATATTCTTGGTTTAGGCTGTTGCAGTGCGTTGTTGCTGCTGCCCTGCTGCTGCTGCTTCTGCTTCTGCTGCTGCTTCTTCGTCTACTGCTCTCTGTTTTGTTTTCCTTCTGCTGCTGCTGCTGCAGTAGCGACTATGAGCTGATTGAGGACTTTGAGTGGTATGTGGCGGTGCTGGTTGACATTGCTTGCAACAGCAGCAGCAGCAGCAGCAGCAGCAGCGGTGGGACAGCTGTTGCTGCTGCTGTTGCGCAGCAGCTGCTGGACATAACAGTGCGCGTGCCCGAAGTGAGGCCCTGCAGCACGCATTTGTGCATGTTGCTGCTGGAGACTGCAGCAGCAGCGAAGCCAAAGGGCCGCAGCAGCAGCAGCACCAGCACCAGCAACAGCAGCAGCAGCAGCAGCAGCAGTTTGCATGTCCTTAGAGCTCTGCGGCAGCAGCACCGCGAGGCCCTCGTCAGCAGCGGCTCTTTAGACTGCGACTCTGGGGCCATTCATAACAACAACCCCACCAACGGGTGCAGCAGCAGCAGCAGCAGCAGCAGCAGCGGTGCTGCTGCTGCGAACCAGGTGTACATACACCCCGAGATCATCCGCGCAGCAGGATGGATCGTAGGTAGGCTTTTCTCTTTTTAATTGTTTTATTTTTAAATAAAAAATAATCGATTTAATTTAATTTAATTTAATTTAATTTAATTTAAAATTAATAAAGATGAAGAATAGTTTGTAATTTCCAGTCCTATTTGAATATTATGCTGCACGGGTGCCCCCAAGAACAAACGGCCGGCAGCAGCAGCAGCAGCAGCAGCAGCAGCAGCAGGTTTGCTGCCGTGTCTCAGGGGAGTACCACAAGCAGCTGTCCACAGGAGCTGCTTCTGCTGCTGCTGGCATTCATTTCATTGAGGACGCAGTTTGCTGCCTAATCTCCGTGGTTAGCGCAAACCCTAAACCCTAAACCCTAAACCCTAAAACCTACAGAGGGCCACCTCGGGCGATGAGCGCGAACGTAGAACAGTTTTGCTGCTGCTGCTGCTGCTGTGTTGATGCCGTTGCTGCCGCTTTGCTGCTCCTCCCGCTGCTGTTCTCACCACTGCTGCTGCTGCTGCTGCTGCTGCTGCTGCTGCAGGCTCAAGACTCGTCGCTGCGGCCTTCAGTGCAGCGGGTGCTGCTATGGGCAGCAGCAAAAGCCTATCTGACGCTGACAGCTGCTGCAAAGGGCCGGCTGCTGCAGCAGCAACTGCAGCAGCAGCAGCAGGAGCCGCAGGAAGCGTATGAGGAGCAGCAGCAGCAGCACGACCCCGAAGCTGAGAAAGCAGCAGCAGCAGCAGCAGTGGAGCGCCTAAAGCCCAAAATGCAACAAGCAGCACAAGCAGCCCGCAGCACAACGGACGCCGAGGTAGTTGCTGCTGCTGCTGCTGCTGCTGCTGCAGCAAATAACAACTGCAGTACAGATTGAAATAACTAGAAGCAGCAGCAAAAGAGCAAAAACAAACAGCAGCAAATCAATCTTTAAGCCAGCTTCTTTAAAGTGTAAAAAGTTCAAAAATCAATTTTAAATTAAAAGTTCAATTTTACATTTTATTAGTTAAAAAAAACAAATTACAAATTTAAAAATACCCTTTTAATAGTTCTGTGATCAACTTCTTCGTTTTATTTCATTTCTTTCCCTCCACTTGCTGCTGTTGCTGCTGCTGCTGTTACTGCTGCTGCTTCTTCTGCTGCTGCTGCTGCTGCTGCTGCTGCGGACGCAGCTATGCGACAGAGGCGCTTTAACCCTTTCTTTAGTCAATTATTTTTCTTCTTCTGGCTGCTGGAGTTTTGACCTCGAGGGCCTTTTGCCGGTGCAGCCGGGGGCGCAAGCAATGGTAAACCCTAAACCCTAAACCCTAAACCCTAGGGCTGAGGGGGCCTGCAGCAGGCAAAGGCTTGGTCTTCAGCGGGCTCTCATTGCTGCTGTTCATTTCACTCAGTTTGCTCTTCTTTTTGTTGCTGCAAGTCCTTTTTCTGGAGTTTAATGTGCTGCTGGTGGTGCTGCTGCTGCTGCTTGTTTGCTGCTGCAGCTGCAGCCGCCACCGGAGCTGGACCTCGACAAGCCCTTCCTAGATGCTGCTGTGCTGCAGCAGCAACTGGACGCGCGCCTGAAGCAGCAGCAGCAGCAGGACCAGCGAGAGCAGTATGAGGCAGCAGCAGCACAAGGCCTGCAGACAGAATCTGCAGGCTTCTCCCTGCTGCAGCAGCAGCAGCAGCACATACTCTGTGCCTCTGCGGGCAAAAAGAAATTCAGCGTCATTAAGGGGGCCATAGCCCCTGGCTCAAACCCTCCTGTGCAGCAGCCAGCAGCAGCAGCAGCAGCAGCACCCGCAACAGCAATGCCTGCTGATGGGGTGCCTGCGCCACACAAGGCGCAGCAGCAGCTGCAGCAGCAGCAGCTGCAGCAGCAGCAGCTGCATCAGCAGCAGCTGCTGCAGCAGCAGCAGCAACTGCAGCAGCAGCAGCAGCTGTGGAAGTGCTGCGGAGGGGACGCAGCAATTCAGCTGTTTTGCTGCTGCTGCTGGTCCCTCGTTCAAACTGAAGGAGATAACGGCGATTTAGTTGTTTCCGTTTGCTGCAGTCCCAGCAGCAGCAGCAGCAGCAGCAGCAGCAGTTGCTGCGCTGGCCCTGTCGAGCTCACTTTGAACGCTCTTGCTGCTGCTGATGCTGCTGCTCCTGCTGCTGCTCCTGCTGCTGCTGCTGCGTT